AAAATGTTTGGAAAAAAAAAGTTTAGAAAAAGATGGAATTTCACAATTCTCTTCCGATGTAATTTTACATTTAATAATTAAAAATGCAATTTTTTTATAGTACGTATTTATGTGGTCTGCAATTTTACAATCTTTTCAGGTGTAATTTTATATTATAAAAAACTGTAACTTCGCTATTTGATGTAATTTTACATTGTACATTTACACTTTCGTTATCGAGCAGTGAATCAATACCAACAAAATGTACAGGTTGTTTCGCTTTTATTGTTACAAATTTAAAAAGTAATTTTAAGACAAAACTTTCCTATAAATATGCATCAAAAAAGCCAAAATAATTAGAATACTGTTTACTCTACAATTTTGATTTATAACAGTTTCTGAAATATTGCAAAAAAACATTAAAAAAATGCACCTCTTTGAGGAGGTGTAGCTCCCTTACATAATATTTTTCGATACATGTTTATAGAGAACTTTTGTCTTAAAACGGAATATTCTATCACCTGTTTAAATTTGTAACAATAAAAATGGAACAGCCTGTATATTTGTATACAGGCTGTTTTCTAAATATTGCAAAAAATTGCAACCACTTATTCTACATCAAAAAATAATACTAATTTGTCAAATAAACAATAGTCGTATAAAGCTTCGTCACGGATATACAGGGTAATAAAGTTTCATGATAAAAATTCAAATCCGTTTATTTTCAGACAATTATTTGATTTTTACTCTACTCAGTGGCGTGTGCAGGGGCACATCATTGAATATTTAAATTATATATTAGTGTCATTTTTCGATTTCGAATTGCAATTTTTCACAATATTAAAGAAACACTCTGTATATATAAATTTTGAATGGTGTCACATATTGTGTAACAATTCTGAAACAAAATCATATCGAGGCAAAGCCGAGTCTGCATCTACCATTATTTCGCCTCTTTATCTATTACGTTACGTTTCTCATGACTCTCCTTTTCTCACACAAACTTACCTATGTAGAGTACCATCGTGATGAAGACAATGAACCCGAACCAGGCATTAAACGTGACCACAAAAAAGACCACAGCTATCACAATATCGATAATCGTCGGTACGATCGAAAAAATAATATAATTCAACAAATTATTAATACTGTCCGTGCCTCTATCCATCACTCTCAACACCTCCCCCGTCTTCCTCCCCAAATGCCATCTCAAGGACAAACTATGCAAATGTCTAAATAACTCCACCTCCACCTCCCTCGTCGTATATTGCTGTACCCTGATCCACAAGAACGAACGTAGATTGTTCAACAACCCCATGCCTCCCGTCCCCCCACCTTGGAGAAATTTAAACCCCACATACATCAAAATCCAATCCCATCGAAACTCCAATTTACCAATTTTCTCATCGGGAGTCATACTATCCACTAAAAACAAATTTAAATTCAAATTTCGCGCCATTTCGACTCCTCACCGATATATTTGTTGTAAATGGGGACGTACAAATTGATGACACGCCCACCGGCCAATAACAGCAAGCAAAAAATGACACGGAATTGCAACAAAACGTCCTTTTTCGGCCATAAAAATGGCGCTAAAATTCGAACTTTCTTCCAAAAATGGTGCCATGTTGATTGGTTCTCGAGACGATCCTGAAACCACAACCGGTTATAACCGACAATTTAACCGATTTTTAACCTTAAATTTTACGCTGACACTTATATTTTTAAAAGTGACCTTCTTCATGTTTCTAAACGACGAATTTAATTTCTCACTTGACATTTCTTATCGAAAAATCTGACAAAACCCGGTTGTAAATCAACGAGAATTTGTTGTGTGTTATTGCGCAACTTGTGACAATCAACTCACCTGCGGTGGCAAATTACGGGTCGAGTCATTAAGTGTAAAATAATTTATATTTTGTGTGATTCCTGGGGCTTTCAGGCCTAATAAAAACATGAAAAGACAGGATAAATAACGGATGATGAATAGCCCCATCTCGATTTGGTCCTCCATTCTGGAAATTTAACTGTAGTTGTTTTGTGTGTAGTTGTAGAGAAAATAAAGTGTACGTTTTGAGCTGAAACCACCATTCTTTCTTGTCTAAATTGAAGAATGCGAGGTTTTCAGAGATGAAAACTAGAGTCCAGAAGAGTAAAAGAACGATGCCGTGACCTTTGGTGGGCACCGAGGGCAAGAGGTAGTGGCGTTCGATGCGCACAACTAAAAGGGAGTAGGGGTAGGCGAGCAGGTTGAGTACCAGGGATGTTATCTGGAAAAAAAATTGTTTCAGGGGTCGCAACCTTGACCTTGATTACAATTGAAATTTAACCTTGATTTGTTGAATAATGATTTAAGAAATAATTTTGCGTTTCATTTCATTATTTACTTATTTAAGTCAAGATACACGCAAATAATACGCAAATTTTTATCTATTTTGCATTTAATTCTGTGATAAGAGTAGTTTATGTAAGATGTAAAATTCAAGATTCAAGGACGAAGTCAATTAATTTCGTATTTGCAAACAATACATTTATTTAATATACAAGGTGAGTTACAAAATCTTGTCCCGTAGTTTTTCATTGAGTTTTATACGTTTTTTTCTTATTAATAATAATAATTTCAATTTGTAAAAACAAAAAACTAAATGGTATCTCCGACATTTTTGACTCAAGCAGTCTATAAGATTTTATTTTGACTCCATTTCCGGCCAAACCGGAAGTAGATTTGTTTAACTATCACAAGTGAAAAATTGCCTTTGGCGAGTACATAGGGTGTGCCAAAATTGAGACTTGTATCTCTTTCAAGAGCCGAGAAATTATATGTTTTTCAAAATTGTTTACACCCGGTATACATGCAATTTCAGCCAAATTCCCAAATATCAATATAAAGTCTTGTAAAAACATAACAATTAGAAAAAAATTAATGAAATTTCCGACATTTTTTACTCACACAGTATATAGGATTTGACTTTAACCGGCTTTAACTTTTTCAGTCATGTACGACCAAACACATCGGCATAAAATTTTGGTACATATTTTTTTGGCCCCCCCCTGTATATTATAAATACGTACCAAGTGTCTTTTCTCCGAATTAATTTTCCGGATAAATACCCAAACGAAACATTATCCCTACTAAATTCCGACATTTTTGATCACCCAGTATATAGATTTTGTCTTTGACCGGCTTTAACTTTTTTAAAAAACAAGATAAATCACTTTTTTTAACGCATTTTCAGTCGTGTACGACCACAGAACATCGGAATAAAATTTTGGTACATTATTTTTTGGTCACCTTGTATATTATAAATACGTACAAAAGTCACAGTTTTGCCTTGTAATACTGAAAAAGTTACATTTTTCAAGATCAATTTTTCAGATAAATATCCGAACGAGACATTAATAAACTCGAGTTTACGAAATATACAGAGTGATTCCTAAATAGATCGATATTTTTTTCCTTTTTAGTATCAAATGAGAACATGCTGGAAAAAATACTTAAAAAATTCTTTGTTTAAACGTTCTCTAAATAAAATTACAAGTTATTTTCGAGGTAAAGCGTACGCCACTGATGTATTCGTAAATAGTATTAGCACAGGTAGTTTGTCTCCATTTATCCTTGGGAAGCTGTGATAAAATTTTGTCGGTCTATTTAAGAATCACCCTGTGTAGGATTTGACTTTGAGCGGCTTTAACTTTTTTTTAAAACGAGATAAATTATTTCTTTTAACATATTTTTAGTCGCGTACAATACAGAAAGAACATCAGGATAAAATTTTGGTGCATAATTTTGTCGTCACTCTGTATATTATAAATACACAGTTTTGCCTTGTGGTACTGAAAAAGTGACATTTTTCAGGTCAAATCTTTCAAATAAATACCCAAACGAGACATTATTAATAAATTAATTATAAATTAATAAATTTATTTCGCACTTTTTTAATATACAGGTGAATTATAAAACTTTGTCCTTTATTTTTTCATAGTCACACATTTTTTTCTTATTATTAATAATTTCAATTTGTTTAATAGGAGTATTAACAAATCTTGGGTTTAGCTACATTTTCAATTATAAAAATAAATAAATAAAAGTAACCGATTTTGAGATTCTTAATTAAGGTAGCTTATAATAAATTACAGTGAATTTTAAAATTAAGTTAATTTTCTTTCAAAATAATTAAAATTATTAATGAGGAATAACATTTCTTTTATAAATATTAAAGTTTTTTTGGGCGTCCTAACCTATAAACGTCAAATTACCATACAATTGGCGTGCGGTAAAAACTCTCAAAAAACACCATTCTCCAAAGACATTTATTGATTAAAATTCCATTTTACACAACTTTGAATTTGCTAAAATAATTTTTGAAAACTCATTTCTAATTTCTTAATAAAAGTCTTTGACAAAAAAGTTTAATACAAATATTATGTAGGACTTAATTATTAACGCACTCAGCTACGCGTCGTGTGTCAACTTAATTTCGCCCTGTAAAAAATAATTTATTCTCAATTAAATTTTTTACATGTCTTGTTCTTTTCTGTAACTGTGATAAAAAAAATGCAAAGGCAGATTAGAGTTCAATGTTGAAGACTTTAGTTCCGTTTCCGCAATTTTGATGAAATTATTTTCGTCGTTTAATTAGTTTAATCAAAACGCGGAATTATACTTGCGATAAAAACGTAACCTGTTGATAACACAAACTCATCATTCTTTCCTTCCAACATAATCCAAGTTCAATACCACTTTCTTATCTAAACAGTTTTAAATTTTTTCCCCACGTGATTATCGCCGATAATAACAAAACTACATAAATACCAATAAAAGTCAATAATGAGGCAATTCAACCAAATATTTAACACCCCAATTCGCACTTACCATAAACCCATAGATGTGTTTATCATCAAACACAGTCCCTCGTAGCACGAACCTCACAACCTCCAACACAGGCACCAATAGTGTTACCGCAACTTGAAAATGGTACAAACGGGACTTGACCAAGTGATTTGGGGAGATTTCAGTACCATATTTCCTGTACATGCACAACTGGATGGTACCAGCTAGTAAAATAAACCCAGCAATCACAGACGATGATAGAGTCTCGACGAAACATTGGGACATCCCGTGGTTCACCCACACGTCCCAAATGTGCACCCCTGGGGGGCAATACGACATATTTGAAGGCATTTCACCCACTGAAAAATAAGTAAGGTTAGGGGCAATCAAAAGAAACAAAAACACAATTTTTACCTATTTCATCGCTACTGAGTGTAAATAAGGGGCCGTGGTGTAAACCGGTGGCGATTATGCACTTGTAAATAGGATTACTATTGTTTAGTCATCACAATGTGACATTTCTAATGACATAACAAAGTTAGGTTAAGAGCGCCTGTTTTAAATGATAATAACGCGCAAAAATTAGTTTGAGTTAATGAAACGTACCGTTAATGATAATTCAATTTTGGTGATAAGTCTTATCAAAACTAGTACACTTAATAGTACATTAATTGTCCCGGTAGGCAACCAGTAATACGTAAGCTCAGTGGCGTCTCATGTTACAAATGAAGTGTTTTTATAAATTTGTAATAACTGCACTTGGGGGACAACAAATTGTTTGATTTTTTGTATAATAAAAACAAAATAAATGCAATAATAATATTTCGACGGTTGTTTTTATTGTTAGATATACAACCAACACGACGTCAGTGTCGTCCCCTCCATTCCCAGTCGCAAATTTGAACATTTTCCCGAAAAATCAGTTTCTTTCGTTCAAGTAACACGTGAATCGACATCTTATTGGCAAAAACGGCGTGTGTGTCAAATCAATTATCTCATTTCGGCCGAGATTGTTTATTTTGAAGTGCTAACAAGTACTCGGCGTTTTTCTAATTAACAATTTTATCTCATTTTTTGACATAGTTTCTTCACATATATCACAAGTTTGCGGCAGTTGTTATCACAGTGTCAGTGCAATCGTTCGCATTGTTTCCATGGGTTAATTGAAGTGGTACGACTGGACAGGTAAGGGGAAGCCCCTAAAGAGCGGAAATTTGAAGCCTTGTTGCGGTAATTGTGACATGTGTCAAAATTAGGTTCCACAATTGGCAAAAACACTCGCGATTTGTGTCATTCTCATCTTCTGGAAAATTTATTTATTTTTTTCGCACTTCAACCGTCATTTATGCTAATATTGGTGTACAATGGGTTACATCGGACGTGGCGTTACTTTTTAATGGGCTTAAATTAGACATGAATCGATTTATAACTAATGTAAATTATGCTAATTGCAAATTCTGTTTTGACGGAAGATTTATGACTTTTTTCGCAAGTTGTCAACAATCATAATCCAGTTTGTAATAAATTTTGCTAAAATCTAATAAAACAATCAGGATGTTAAGAAATAACGAATAAAACCACTCAATTACGTTTATTATCAGAAGTGATAAAATAATCAAGTAGGCCGTGATTTGTGGTTATTATTTTTTACTATAAGCACAAATGTAGCAGTTTTACGCTTGTAATTTATTTATTTATTAAATTAAAAAAAAACAATGACAGCAACGACTCGGCTTTGCCTCGGACAGTTGAATATAATGTATTTAAACAGTTGTGTATTAAAATATAATTAACTAAAAATAATAAATTTGCTTTATTACCAAGTAAATGTATATTTTTAAAAGATAGCTAGCCAAGGCAAAGCCGAGTAAGAGTAACTATAACAGTTTTACAACTCAGCTTTGCCTCAAAAAATGTTATTTTTTTACTAAAGAAACACCACTCAATTACGTTTATTATCAGAAGTGATAAAATAATTTAAGTAGGCCGTGATTTGTAATTATTGTTTTTTTACTATAAACACAAGTGTAGCAGTTTTACGCTTGAAACTTATTTATTTATTGAATTAAAAAAAAACAATTACTGCAACAACTCGGCTTTGCCTCGGACAGTCGAATAATAATGTATTTAAATAATTCTCTATTAAAATACTCCTATAATTAACTAAAAATGCTAAATTTGTTTTATTACCAAGTATATGTGTATTTTTGAAAAATGGCTAGCCAAGGCAAAGCCGAGTAGGAGTAAGTACAGCAGTTTTACAACTTGGCTTTGCTTGAAAAAAATCTTAATTTTTTTACCAAAAAAACTTTCAGTTGTGCTAACATATAGTTTGTCAATTTTGCCAATCGCATAATAAAAATCATAGCCTACTTATGTTAAGTCCCTAATTTTACAATTTTTGTAAGATTTAGTAATTTAATCGGTGATTAACAAACGAGTTTGCAGTCTAGCAGTGGTGCCAATCACAGAAACCCAAATCCCGACCTTAAATTACTCATTTCGCGTCTGTATTTATCTCATTTTTATTTTTGTTTGTCTTCTTTTTATACACCGCGCAAATTCCGCACCGCTAGACACACCTCGAGTCTAAAGTCTATCCAATTACATTCTCTACAATCAATTTTTTTCGTGTTTTTATTCAAAAATAAAGTCTGAACCGCGAATCGAGTTGGCCATAAGCCAACTTTCTTCTATTTCAGTTAATATGTCACATGCGAAAATAATCGAGCATCGAAAAACAATAGAGAATCGCGACCTTGAACCGACGAGATGAAATCAACGCGATTTGTTGTTCCAGGAAGTCGAAACGAAGAAGAAGAAGAAGAAAAAATGGCAACGTCGAATCCTGATGACACCGACAAGGATCGGTATGGATTGGGATACCAGAATACAGTGGTGAGTGTCAAATCGATCTTAGTTGGCGTGGAAAAATTGACGTGAAATTGCTACCGGCAATGCGATCGCGATACCCGAGACCGGCACGTGATTCTTATTGGGCACGTGATGGGAAGGTCACGGGCCAAGGAGGGCCGCACTCCCACACCTGGCCCATTATCACATTTGTTATAGTTTTGATTAATTAACGCAATTATCACGCAGGCCGTGACAAACTCCAGTGTCTTTAGTTCTGGAGTGAACTGTACATTTGAATTTTCAAATTTCACTTTATTTTTGAACTTTACTGTACCTACATTTTTTAACGGTTTTTTTTACTCTACATTTAATTAATTTAATTTATAATATGTCAAAGTCATGAATGGAAATTGACTTTGAACTTTGTCGTCATTACAACTGAAAAATTTATTTTATTTTATGGTTTTGTGATTACAAATTTTGGGTCACGTGGTGAAGGATTTCAAATTGTCATTACTTGTGAACTTAGCTGTACTCACACAATTTTAATTTTGTGGTTGCTAGGATACGCGACCTAACAAAGCCAATAAAAATTGTTTATTACTTAATACAAATATTTAGAAATACGTTTTTGCGGTTTTTTGTGTAATAAAAGCTTTGTTTTTGTCTGTTTTATTGTCACAAAATTTGAATTGAAAATTTTAAACAGGAACAAAAAATGTAATAAAATCGAAATGTCAAAATTTTATTGTATTAATAATGATAAACATCATCATATTTTATGTTTATTTTTATGGTCGTTTTGAATTAAACAAGCGAGGAATAAGTATTCTAATTCTTTACTTGACCCAACTTGACCCAAAAAATTAATTAAAATATTTTTGCAACACTGTAATTACGCAAAACCTTGCCTTAGATTCTGAAATTAAACACAAGTCTGATAAAAATGTCAAAAAATTCCTAGACTGGGATTAGAATTGTTAATGATTCGTAATAAAAATCACAGTTTTTACGATAAGATTAGTATCAAGTGGCCGGGATTAGACCGGTGTTTTTTTATTGAAATCGTACGCTACTATTGACATTTCGTGTTTGTTAAAAACACGCAAATTTTTCGCTTAATTAATTTGTTGGGTCAAGAAAATCCGCCTGAAACGACCTAATTATAAAACGCTCGCTTTTGTTCGATTAAACAATGAAGACAGCCAAAATGTTCTTTGCCAAAAAAACGAAAATAAACTCTATTTCCGAGTCGATTACATTTCTTATCAAGATTCTTCAAACACACGCAAATCCGCAAAGGTTGCGTCAACTTTTGTTTATTCTTATCGTTAACATTTCGAGATAAGAGTGATTTGAAAAATCTTACGTAATTGCCAAACATTTAAAAAGTGTTTTTCTGCTTTGATTGTGAGACGACAATGCCAACAAACCCGGTTTTGTTGCAAAATAGCGGCTATTTTCAGATGGGGTGTATTGTTGGTTGCCTATAGTTGGGTGTTAGCATAGGCGGAGGAATGGGTGGGCCATGACCTGGATAAATCAGATCAAGCGGTCGAGAGGGCAATTGTTTTATTGTGGGTTATCTTCATTTGTTCATAGAGAAAGGCCTACTTTGTTCCGAGTAAACAAATCGAAGAATTTTTTCTTATTGTCATTATTTTGTAAAATTGTACTGGAGTTTTTCTAAATAAAATTTTGTCTTATTCATGTGAAAATTTTAATTTAATAAAATAAAACAACAAAAAACTTAAAAAGAAAGGGAATAACAAAATATGTGAGCTAGAAAATAAAGTAAAAAAAAATAAATAAAAAGAACACAAAAATAGAGTAATAATTATTTGTAATACAAGGGAATAATTTTTTCTATGACTCAGCAATATCCCAATATTAGGTACCATTATATTTATCCCGTTTCTATTAAAGAAGTAAACAGTGTGGACTTTTTACTTTTTTGAGAGGTAATGAGCCACTTTCCTTTCTAAAATTAGGGTGGAAAAATTTACTTTCTATTAGGGTCTAGAAGAAAATAATTACGAATTACTAGAAAAACCGTGATAATGGAAGTAAACAAAAAAAGTTTATTCGGATATTAGATCAAAAAATAAACAACAAATTAATGTAAAGAAACCTGAAAGACAAAGTCAAAATTATTACAATGTGCAAAAGAAATAAGAAAATGAAAATAATAAAAAAAGATAGTAAATAAAACTTAAAACACAAAGTCGTAATTACTGATTATATTATTTATTTATTTTAATAAAATAATGAAAAATAAAAATGTGTTCTGAAAACTAAATTTTGATATTTTCGCTACTCTTACAAGACTAGCATTTTTAAATAAGAACAAAAACAAGAACAGTAATAAAGTTTAATTAGAGTAAATTCACTTTTGTTATAGCGCCATCTGTAGGCCAGTAGCTAAATATCTTGGAATAACCTTCAAGTAGTGTTTTTTTATGAAAATTAAAACACGATAAAAATTTATGTAAGAAAAAAAATAACAAGATATTTTATGTAGGCTAGAGTAGTGAGTAAAGTAAGTAAATAAAAAAAACTCGAAAAATTAAGTAATAGTTATTTGTATTACAAGAGAGAAAAGTGTATCTTTCCTCTAGTGTGGTACATATAAAATTTTTCTTACAGTCCAACAAAAAAAACTTAAAAACCACAATTTCTTTTGGTTCTCAGTTTTGCCATTAAATTTTTGGGGGGGAGGTAAAAATTTTACCTTTCCGAGAGGTTACATAAAATTAGAGTGAAAAAACATACTTTCTGTTTAAAAAAAAAAATTACAAATTTACGGAAAACCGCAAAAATGGAATGAAAAAGAATTATTAGAATATTAGATTAAAAAATTAACAAATGTCAAAAAATTGAAAATTATAAAGAAAAATAAGGTAGTAAGTAAAATAATAAAAACGAATATTAAAGAAACTAAATTAAAGAAATAATTTGGAAAAAAATAAGAATACAGTAAATAATTACAAATTAATAAAAACCGTTAGAAAGAAATAAGGAATAAATAAAACTTTTATTGTTTTTTTTCTTCTTCTTCTTTTGGTATTAGCCTCGGATTTCCCGTCTGCTTCCCAATTCCCACAATTGTGATGACGTCACGTGTTTCTTCACCTCGCATTTAAGTAATAATCTTCATTAAATCGTATATGACACATCTCAATTGGATAATATGTCTCACAATTGGCAAATTATTGTCTCAGCTACGACATGCATCTTATCTTTTTATCACTTCTGCTCCTCTTATTTCTCCCACGACGTAGGTGTTTTCGGTTTTCGGGGACTTTTTAGTGCCCAATTGCGTTCGGTGGTTTTTCCTTCAGTCGAATGTTTGCTTGCAATCGTCATGTCTGAAATGAGCGAAGCCCATTTCGGGGAAGCCGACCCTGAATCGGTCGATAAAGATTGGGAGGAGTTTGCGAAATTGGTCGAAAAACGAAAAAAGAGACAGGAACAGAGCTTCTACCCCTGCCCCCCCGAGGAGGATTACGTCAGCACTTTAGTAAGGAAAAATATCGAGCACGTGGCTGGGCAATTAATACGCGATATTCGACTGGAAACTTGCCAACACGCCATTTCACTCTTCATTTTTACGATTTTTTTGCAGATGTATGGCCGCTATAGTCGGCAATTGGGCGAATTTGCGAAGCTAGAAGGGCTCAGACAGGCCGAAAAGAGGCGACTCAAAGAGGACAAAGCGCGGAAAAAGGAGCTGAGGGGCTATCAAGGTAAAAAAACTAGTGCCCCCTTTGAGAAAATATTTTTACAATTTTTTTATCATGTGCCCCTTTTGAAAATTATTTTTTTGGGAAAGTAACAAGTGCCCCCTTTGAAACACTATTTTTAGGATTTTTTTATCATGTGCCCCCGATTTTTACGATTTTTTTATTTTAGGAAAACTCGCCAAGGCCGTGTCGTTTCTATGGAAGCACACTTTTGCCCGTTTGGGCGAAGATTGGGTGTTTTTGGCCCTATTAGGGGTCATTATGGCCGTTCTCAGCTTTATCATGGATCGGGGGATTTCCTTGTGTAATTGGGCAAGAATTTGGCTCTACAATGATTTAAATGGGCAACCGTTTGCCCAATATGCGGCTTGGGTGTCTTTACCGGTTTGTTTGATTTTGTTTAGTGCCGGGTTTGTGCATTTGGTGGCGCCACAATCGATAGGTAAAGCCCTCTTGATATATGTTTTTTTTGATTTTAAATAATGCGAAGTTGGCGTGTTTGAGATAAATTATTGGTTCGAATTTAAGACAGCCTTGGAAATTGTACTGTAATTTAGGGAATTAGTGATGCGTGTCGCTTGCACTGTCATTCCAATAAACAGGGTGTTTTCTTAATATTGCACACCACTGGTAAGAGGAAAAATAAGCACTTTTAATGGCTCATTATGCCTGTAAAATCTCATGAAAATAACTCAAGTGGTTTTGTAAAACTAAAAGAAATTTGATTTTTATCATATACCTTTATCACCCTGTATATCCGTAACGAAGCTTTATCGGGCTATAGTTCATTTGACAAATTAGTGTTATTTTTTTATGTAGATTATGTGGTTGCAATTTTTCGATGTGTTAAAAAAACACCCTGTATATTTTTTTAATTTTCAAAAATTGTTTTTCAGGATCTGGGATTCCTGAAATGAAGACGATTCTTCGTGGCGTCGCCCTGAAAGAATACTTAACTTTTCGTACTCTTGTCGCAAAAGTGATTGGACTTACCGCCACCCTTGGGAGCGGTTTACCGCTTGGTAAAGAAGGGCCTTTTGTCCACATTGCTAGTATTGTAGCAACTCTTTTGAGTAAGTTAGTGACGGGATTTCAAGGAATCTACGAGAATGAGAATCGTACGACTGAAATGCTTGCTGCTGCTTGTGCTGTCGGTGTTGGGAGTTGTTTTGCCGCCCCCGTTGGCGGCGTCTTGTTCAGTATTGAAGTAACGACGGTTTATTTTGCCGTGAGGAATTACTGGAGGGGTTTTTTTGCGGCGGTTTGTGGAGCGACGATCTTCAGATTGTTGGCGGTGAGAAGAGCTTCTTAATTCTAAGTTTTTGGGAAAAGACAAAAATTACCTAAGTTTGATTCAATTTGGTGATTTTTCTATCAAAAATTTAAAGAAATAAGTGAGCTTTTCGCTCAAAATTGAAATGACATTTTTAAAACAGATGTCAGTTGTGGTCTAATTTGGCTAAATTTCCAATAATTTTTTTTATACTCGAGTCTTATATAGCCATTTTTTTTATTTGAGTTTTTTTTGCTCTTTATGTACGGATGTTTGTGCTTTTTAATTTACATCAAGACTCACTTTCTTTAATCTCATTAATCTCAATTTTCGTTTTAAATATTTATTTAGTTTAATATTTTTTCTGATTTCTCAGTTTATATATTTTTTAAACAAATTGTTTTAGTTATGAATTTTTAAAATTCGTATTTCTAATTTTTCAAATTATTGACATTTATTATCTTTAATAATACATATCTAAGTTTTTGGAAAAAAGCCAAAAATAACGTTGATTTTGATCAAAATTGGTAATTTTTGCCTTTTATGTGCGAAAATTTAAAGAAATAAGCGAAGTTTTTGTTCAAAAACGAACTAAATTTCTTAAAATAAGTCATTGAAACGTCATTCTTGATCTAGTTTGGCTAAATTTTTAATTATTTATTTACTTTTCTTTAAATTTGAGTCTTATATTTTCATTTTGTCTAAAATTGATTTTAACTTTTTTATTTCTTTTTTATGTTTTTTTTCTTCTTTTCTCAATTTTTGCTTTTCATTTATC